CCATGGCCATCAATGATTTGCTCAGAGACAGGACAGTGACTCTAAGCTGATGGGCACATAGCACTTGACAAAAGGCTCCTACATTTCTCTATCTCTCCTACAACTCTGGGAGGTAGGATAACCCATGCACGAATTTGTGCACCACATGCTAGACCAGGGGTGGGCAAACTTTTTGACTCGAGGGCCACAATGGGTTCTTAAACTGGACTGGAGGGCCGGAACAAAAGCATGGATGGATTGTTTGTGTGAACTAATATAAATTCAAAGTAAACATCATTACATAAAAGGGTACGGTCTTTTTTTTTTTTAGTTTTATTCATTTCAAACGGGCCGGATCCGGCCCACAGGCCGTAGTTTGCCCACGGCTGTGCTAGACCATGTTCTCAATACTTTCCATGTCATCTCATTTAATCCTCACCAAACCCCTATGAGGCAGATGCTACTGTGGTCCCCATTTCACAAATGAGGAAACTGAGGCACAGAAAGGATAAGTGCTTGTCCAAGGGCTGCCAAGGTTGAGCCATATGAAACAGAACACTCAACCTTTCCTGACATACAAAAATGGCAATTTGGTATAGTTCAACTTAGTAAGTGGTGGTGGAACACCTCGTCCTCATCTGTATGGCTTAGTCACTGCCTAGAGGCATTTGGCCCCAGAATTTGCAAGCCTGTCTGCTCCACACACAAATCCTCCACATCATATCAGCCTCTTTCCAAGCTTTTTAAGCCCTTCCTTCCAGCCTTCGCTTGCCAAGGGCAGAGGAAGGAGATGAATTATGTGGCTTTTAGTTGGAAGGGGGAATTCCTAGGCATGGAGTTTGTGCCAGCTTCTGATACAACCTAGCCGAGTTCTGATCCCAGGCTAGCCTTGTCTGAGCACCACTGTGTCCCTCACCATTCTGCTGGCCCATCCAAGCTTTAGAGAAGCAATTAGGTTTTATTGCCTATGGGGAAACTGAGGCTCAGAGAAGGAAAGGACTTGTCTAGGGTCATCCAGCTGGACTCTAATGCTCTCCCTCCAGCCCCCTAGGCCCTCACCATCACAGCATGTGTCCCATCTAGGTTATCCAATTGCAGTACATCATCATCGAAGAGTTGTGATGGCTGGAACACCTCGTCCTCATCTTGATCGTCTGCAAATGCAGAGAGAGCCCAGGCCTGGTGAGGCCCCTGTCCCTGCCCCATAGGCCCATACCAAAGTCTCAAGCCTGGGACAGTGAAAACCAAAGGAAAGCCACTTGAGAGAGGCAGCTTGTGGAAATGGAGGGAACTGCTCACCATCCTCAGTGATGTCACTATCACCCGTTACTGAGCTATTCAGATGCTTCTGGGGTGACAGCAGGGTGGTGCCCGACGAATGGACCATCTTCTTCTCCACCCAGCCCCTGCGGCGCAAGAGGCACCGGATCACCGGGTAGTGGCCTTGGATCATAAAGATCTTCTTCTGCTGTAAGGTGAGAGAAGGATACTTGCTCAGTAAGTACTGCCTATGTGCCAGACATAGGGAATGGTGAACCAGAATTTTGTTATTCTAGTAAAGGAGACAGATTATAAACAAGTAGATAAATAAATATGGTTGTATCAGAAGCTGGCATAATTTTGACTACAAAGTTATGATAATAGTTGATATTTATTAAACACCTATATGTGCTAAGCATATATATGTGTGTGTGTATATATATTTCTAACAATAACATGTATTTTTAACAGATGTTATTATCCCCATTTAACTGATTATGAAACAGAGGCATAGAGAGGTTGAATAGCTTGGCCACACAGTGGTTAAGTGAAAAAGCAGGGATTTAAATCCAGGTAGGCTGACTCCAAAAACTGGACACTTAATGGGGATTCAGAGAAACTAGAAATACATACAGTCAGGGGATGTGGAGAAGGAGCCACGAATTAAGAGCTGGACAAATGGCAGTTTGGACAAAGGAAAAAGCATGTGCAAAGGTCTTGAGGCTAGAGGGAGGTCTAAAGGAGTTGGAAGGGGACCAGGGTTAGAGTGGAAATGAGGGGAGAGCTCCTGAGCCAGGAGGTCATGGCTAAACTGTGGAAGGTCCTGCAGGCCTTGGACATGGTCTTGAATTTTATATCAACAGCAGTGTGCAGCACTGAAGGCTAAGAGAGGGAGTGCTGTGACTGGAGGCTGCTGTCTGGAGAGGAGATGGAGGAGACAAGGGTGGAAGTAGGGAGGCCAGTTGGAGGGCTGTTGTGGTTTGTGTGGGAGAGGTTTGTGTGGGAGAGAAATCACGGTAACTAGAATGAGGGTGGCTACAATGGAGAAGGGAAGGTCATGGAATTGGGATTTGTTCTGGAAATACAGGTGACTGGTTTTGCTGATGGGAGTAGATGTGTGGGTGAGTGAATAAAAAGATCAGATTTCTAGCTTGAGCAACTAGGAGATGGGGAGACCAGAGACTAATGATGACTGGGTTAGGCAGGAAAATCAAGAGTATGGTTTGGGACATGGAAATGATAGTAAGTTCTCTGGATGGAGATGTCCAGTAAGCGGCTGGATCTGCCAAGTGTACAGTTAAAGCATAGGCTGGGCAGGAAAGGGCATGCAGGGGGCACAGCACCCTGTCTGGACTCACAGCCAAGGAGACAGGTGTGGGGAGGGATCCAGGGAACCACTAAAGTCCCAGGCACCTTCAAAGCAGCAGTCAGGGAGGGAGGAAGGAAAACTAGATGTGAGCAGAGAGCCGAGAGGAAAGGGTGTGTGGGGCAGCGGTGCAATGACACAGGTGCCCAACCAAGATTGGGACAGAAAAGGGGCTGCTCCTGGGACTTCCCTAGTGTCCTTGACTAGGTTCTCCCAAGGAAGTGGAGAAGGGACAGAAACAGAGAGGTAGGAGCTGAGGGGCTCATGCTGGGTAAAGAAGTAGACAAGACTGCTAAATGAAGGGGTATCAAAAATAGGGAGGGCCCTAGCTGGTTTGGCTCAGTGGACAGAGTGTCTGTCCGACTGTGGACTGAAGGGTCCCGGGTTTGATTCTGGTCAAGGGCACATGCCCGGGTTGTGGGCTCCATCCCCAGGAGGTGTGCAGGAGGCAGCCGATCAATGATTCTCTCATCATTGATGTTTCTCTCTCCCCCTTCCTCTCTGAAATCAATAAAAATACATTAAAAAAATTTTTTAAATAGGGATGTATTTGCAGGTGTGGGCTAGAAGGGGTCAAGGGGGACAAGTAGGGCATCTGTAATACTTCCAACAATAAAGATAAACTTTTAAAAAATAGGGAGGTATTTGAAGATGGGTGTGGAATCAAGGAGTTTGTTTTTTAAGGATGGAATAAATTAGTTCAGGGAGGCAGATTGTGCCATTCTAGAACCGCCCCTCCTTCCCTAGCCTCCTCTGACCTTGACAGCTCTCTCCACATGGATCTTGGCGTTTCTGAGCCGGCCCATGTGCGGAGAGTCCTTGGACAATCCTGACCAGAGGACCAGGGAACCTGCGGAAAGATGAGTAGAGGGGGCTCAGCCTAGCATCTCTCTGGCCCCCAATACCCATGCCCCTGCTCCTTCTCTTTCTCTGCCCTTCACCCGGATGCCCACCCTCTATCGCTCTTCTCCAGACCCCCATGCCCTCCACCCAGTCGTCTCTTCCTCGTCACTACTGCCTCAGGCCAGGATGGGCTGACCGAAATGGGCCTCACCGTCCTGCAGCGGGGCATCATCAAGGGCTCGGGTGTGCGGGCGCCCGAGGGGGCGTAGATCTGCGGTGCCCTGGGCGTGAGTGCCATGGGCGAGCTGGATGGCGCGGCTGCCGGCCAGGCTTTTGCTACCAGCACGAGCCCCGTCGGACCAGGCGCAGGCGGACCTGGGCCATGGCAGCGTCTCTAGAGGCCGAAACTCCGAGCGGTGTGCCCAGGGCCACGGGACGGGGTAACTGGTGCGTGGCTCAGGCGGCTGCGGCTTCTGCGGCCAGTTGCATACCGGGCCGCCCTCCAGGCGGTACCAGGCGGTGGAGCACGGGTGTCTGACCCTCAGGTCCCCCGCGCTCCGGATCAGCGCCAAGCGGGGGCCCTGCATGCGCCTTACCGCGCTCCCACGCCCTCCCTGCGCCCCGCACTGCTGCCTCTCGCGGGATTGCAGAGCAGGGTCCTAGGGTTCGAGGCTCCGCCCTCTGTTTATTGTCGCCTTGGAAACCATTCCTTGCCACAATCAGGCCGCGGGTTGGCTGGTTCCATCAGGCGAACTCTGAACTTCACCTGCCCCACACCCTTGATGAGAGCACTGATGGCGGAAGCGCACAGTACCGGGTTGCCAATTACTACCAGTGCCATGGTTTCTCATTGAGCACTTCCTGGGGCTCCAGTCATTTCACAGTATTTATAGAGGACCACGTCCTAGGCAATGGGCTAGGACCTAGGTGATCCCTGACCTCATGGAGTTTAGAGCCCGGTGGAGAGGAAACAAAAAGTAAGCAACAAAGGTATATAACAGCTGTAAGTATGGTACGGGCAATGAACTACAGCCAGGAAAGTGGCATATTTTGGATAAGGCAGTCAAGGATGTTCTCTGAAGAGGTGACATTGAAGCCAACGCCGTACAGAATGCAAAGGTCAGGAGTTGGCCAGGGAAGAGGGGAGAAATAGCATTCCAGGGAGAGGCAAGTCTCAGCAACAGCCCTGAGGAGGGTAAGAACCTTTCTGGGGAACTAAAAGGATGCCAATGTGGCTGGAGCCTGGTGAGGCGGGATTGCATCTGCAGGGCCTGACAGATGGGGCTAGGAGCAGATCCTTGGGGACAGATTTGAAAGACCGTATATGCAGGAAACAATGATCCAGCACAGAACACACTTCTCCCTTCCCCCACCCCACAAAAATTGGAAATACAAAAACAGATCATCTTTGTCAACTGCAGGAAAAAATGTAACTGGATTTATGCACAGCTCTCAAGACAAGACTAAGCAATCCTTTTGGGCGTGGTGGCAAAGTAGTATCCTCAAGACACAGGTGAGATAAATAAAACTCCAAGATGTTACAGAATTTGCCTCATCACAGAGCCAGCAGTGGAACCCAGATCTGATTCCAAGGCCCCACTCTTATTAAACACAAACACTGTTAACATCATGACCCCATGTTATCACTCTAAACTGGTTGTCTATTGGTCATGGAAATATGGGTAGTTTGAGAGGTAAACTCTAGCAGTGCCCATTTAAGCAAACTCCAGGGAAGAGAGTACCTGGTCCAAAAAGCCAGCTTTGTGTTGTCTCTGGCTAGATCTGCCCATTCAGTGAAGGTGGGTCCTCCACCTAGGTGTCCAGCCAACCCCATCCCCGCAGATCACCCTTCCCAACCCCCCACTGGCTGGTGACTGGGCTTCCCAAAAGACATGTCCCCAGGAGAGGGCCAGCTGATTGGAAACCACCCAGTCCGTTCTCATCAGGGAGCAAATTTGGTTTTAGGGGATCCAGATCAGAGGAGATGGATCCATGACAAGAGAGTTTTGGCTGGCTCACCCAGGCAATGCCGTCCAGTGAGGGCTGAGTGAGCAGCTGCCATACTCTATAGTGGTTATCTTCACTGTGAGCACCTTTAACATTCACTGCAAAGCTAGAACACAGTCATGTGCCCCAGAGTAGGGCACACCTCATTCTGCAAGGCAGAAGGAAGAGGTCACAGAGGTAAGTCATAAAGGGGATGATAGCTATCCAAGTTGCTCCCAGCCCCAGCCCTTTCTCCCTTTAACATCACCTTGTCCTCTACTTCAAGAGACCCGTTGGCCATCTAGAACACTTTTGAAAGCTCAGCTCAAAGGCCAACCCTTCTGAAACTCTTCCCGGCATCCTCCTCCATAAATAATGCCCTGTGGGCCCCAAGACTTATAGTGAATATGAAACACTTCAGCACATCTATTTACATACCTGGCTTTTACTAGTCCCCCAAATCTCTCCAAGACAGGGATAATGTCATCGCCCATGACTAGATGAGGAAAGTTATCAGCTTGCATAGTGGGCTGGTGGAAAGATCAGCTATTGTTTACTTAGTACCGGTATAGCAGGAACTATGCGAGATTGTTTACATTAACTATCTCCACTTTATAATTTACTCAAATTCAGCAAGAGTTTGGACTCATGCCGGGCTGATGCAGCTCAGCAGTTGAGCGCCAAACCAGAAACCAAGAGGCCCCCAGTTCAATTCCCAGTCAGGGCACATGCCTGTGTTGCAGGCTCCACCCCCTGTGTGTGGGGGCATGGTGTGTGTGTATGTGCAGGATGTAGCTGATTGATGTTTCTCTCTCATGGATGCTTCTATCTAATCTCTCCTTCCCTCTCTAAAAAATCAATAAAATATATTTAAGAGTTGGGACTCAAATACAAGCAATCTTGTTTACTTGGGAGGATTCACCAAGTCTAGCACTGTCCAAGAGCTTTCTGTGATCATGGAAATGCTCTACATATGTACCATCTGACATGATAGGCATTAGTCACTGGTAGCTATTGAGCACTTGTAATGTTGCTGGTGGGATCGTGTGAGTAAATTTTAAACCTTATTTAGTTTGAGTAATTTAAATAACCACACATGGCTACTGAGTACTGTCCTAGCATTGGTAGAGGCACAAGTCTTGGATTTGAAATCTACCCTTTTGCTCACTGGCTCAATTTGGGGCAAGCTACTACATCTTATGGAACCTGTTTCCTTAGCCATAAAATGGGATCACTGTCTCTCCGAGGTTGGTTTAGCCCAAATGAGCTCATTAGGCAAAAAGGACCAAAGCTCTTTATAGGTGGGGGTAACAGTTTTTAAAATGGGTGGTGCCTAGATTGCAATGGAAGACTCTGGATTAGGGCCCTAGGCAGGGATGTCAGGAACCGTAAGATTGCTTCTGGTGGTGACCCCAGGCCCAAGTACCAGTCACATGGTCTTTGGAAAGAAAAAGCCCCACCTCCCCTCTCTCTTTCCACATATGCAGACAGAGCACAGACCTCATGCAGCCCCAAAGGGGCAAGAAGAGAGTTTAATCAGGGGCGGGGGGACCCATCAGAATAAGAAAAGGTACAGCGAGCATGGGAGCAGAGAAGCCGGAGCAGGTGGGAAGGCCCAGCCAGGAATCTGATAGGACTCACCTCTCCACCTCAGCACAGGCACTGCACTGACAGACAAGGCAAAACAGTGACCCCTCTCAGCTGGGAGGCCTGGAAGTGGCCCCTGTGACCAGAGGTTGCCTGGCTTTCTGGTTCCAGCTCCTAGGTGTGGCTGGTGGCCACTGGTTCAGCCCTTGTCCCCAACCAGTGCTGAGTGGCGATTTTTAGGCAGAGCTCAGGAAGCTAGCCACTGCTTCTACTGGGCTCAAGGAGGCTTGAGAATAAGAGGGCAAGGGAGAGGAACTGGAGTCTGAAACCTCCCTCCCTCCCCACATGGGGTGACTTGGGGGAGGAACAGTAGTCGCCTTTTGGCTCCAGGCCCGCCCAGACCCACAGCGACCAATAAGGTACAATCACTGGGACCAGTCACAGCCACTGGAGGTGGAGGTTTTTGTTTAAAAAAAAAAAAAAAAAAGACAAAAAGGTTACAGTCTCCTACAAGCACAGAGTTTAAATTTCAAGACACTAAAAAAAAAATCCGTCCGCCCAGGGGACTGAACATCAGAAGCCAGCCTGACCAGGCACGTGTGGCCTTGGGGCAAGTTCACTGCTGCTTTGTCACCAGCTAGCAAGCGCACCACCCCCCCCTCCCGCATTTAATGCCCACCCCAACCCAGGTCCCCTCTGCTTCTGCTGTCGCTCTGAGAAGTGACTCCAGGATGCCTTTGCAGAGACACAGGAGATTCTGAGGGGGAAGGCCACGAGATCCAGTCAGATGTTTAAAACTGTCAAGAAAACAAAGAAATGGTGAATGATGGTTACTGCTGTATTCCAGTAGGCCTGCTGAGGGGGGGTGAGGAGGGCCGATCTGAGAGCTGCCACTGTGCTCAGACCTCTGAGGGGGCAGGATTAGGTCCCAGGACACCCCTGTGGGCATGCTTTTCCCAGTGATCTTTAGGACACTGGCCCTAAACCTAGCACTAGACAAGGCAGCGAAATTAAAGGTGGTATGGGCTTTTCCATAGCTCCTCTTAGCCATGTCACAGAGGCTGCTATAAAGCACTGTCACAGCAACTTGCTTCTTTAGAGATGCAAGGGCTTGGGGACTCAGAGGGCTCAAGCTCTGTGTGGTCCTCCAACCTAGGACAGGCCCTTGACAAGTTTCCTGCCATCAAGTATCCCTCATGGTGCCAAGAACAGCCCTGGACATTTTACAGACCAGAGGTTATAGACCAATGAATGAATAGCCAAGCCCCAAAATGAGCCCATACAGTGTTTAAAAGAATATGAATTAGTTGCCAACCTTGAAAATAAGGGAGACTCTGGATACTAATCCAGACTTTAGGATTCTTTTTTAAATTTTTTATTTTTTTTTAAATTTTTTTGGTGGAAATTTATTAAAGAACAAGTACAGATTCCCACGTGGGGAGGGGGAAAGAGTCCCTTTATTATTTTTTAAAATATACTTGTATTGATTTCAGAGAGGAAAGGGGAGGGAGAGATAAATAGAAACATCAATGATGAGAGAGAATTATGGATCAGCTGCTTTCTGCATGCCCCACACTGGGGATCAAGCCTGCAGCCTGGGCATGTGCCCTGACTGGGAATCGAACCGTGACCTCCTGGTTCATAGGTTGATGCTCAATCACTGAGCCATGCTAACCAGGCAAGACTTTGGGATTCTTTTGAAAGCTGTAAGATGAAGCTGTATGGTGGTGATCCTCTTCAGGTGAGGCATGAGTTCACTAGGTCCCTACACAATCCACTTTATTCACATACATTACCTGCCCACCTGAATATGTGACCCCTGCCAGATGCCAAAGTACTATTCCAGGATCTCGGAGTCTGAAACTTAGCTCCTAGTCCTGGTTCTCCCACTTACTGAGGGACCTTGGGAAGGTGATTTAACTTCTGGAGCTCTAGTTTACTAATCTGTAAAATGGGGATTAACACCTGCCTCAAAGATTGTGTTTTTTTAAATGTAGAGAGAGAAACATTGATA